TCTATCTATCTATCTATCTATCTATCTATCTATCTCTCTATCTCTCTATCTCTCTCTCTCTCCATCACTTGCACGCCTCCTTGCTCCGGAACTCTTCGCCATATATACTGTGCACGACGGGGAAGGTTTCATATTGAGGCGGTTGAACTTGAGCAACCTCAGCGCACAGAGGAGAGAGAGAGAGAGAGAGAGAGAGAGAGAGAGAGAGAGAGAGAGTGCGCACGAGGGGGGAAGCTTCATGCTGAGGCGCTTGAGCTTGAGCAACCTCAGCGCGCAAACGAGAGAGAGAGAGAGAGAGAGAGAGAGAGAGAGAGAGAGAGAGAGAGAGACGTTTTGCGACATTTGAGGGCATTTGACGAGAGAGAGAGAGAGAGAGAGAGAGAGAGAGAGAGAGAGAGAGAGAGAGAGAGATCATAGCCGAGAGAGAGACAATTTTACGCGGCATTTGGATTTAAATTTGCGGCATTCGGATTTGATGAGAAGAAGAGGAGGAGGATATGGCTTCTGCTGGTAGGTTCATCTTGCTCCTTCTTCAACTCCGGTCGTTCTTCTTCTTCTTCTTCTTCTTCTTCTTCTTCTTCTTCTTCTTTTTCTTCTTCGTGGTCTTAGTTTTCTTCTTCCTCTACTCCTTCGTCTACTTCTTTGTGTTGGTGGATTTTTTGTCTTCTTCTTCGTCCTCTTCTTCTTTTTCATCTTCTTCGTCTTCTCCTTCTTCTTCCTCTTCGTCTTCTTCTTTTTGATGTTCTTCTTCGACTTCTTCTTCTTTTTCTTTTTCTTCATCTTTGTCTTCTTCTTTCTTTACTTCTTCTTGGTCGGGAGGGATTGTTAGGCGCCATGCGCCATAGCTATCTTGAGTGATGTGAATGAGGAGGGAGAGAAACGCAACCCTCGTGGCGGTACCTCCGCCCGAAACGCAACCATAGCGATAATCACATGCGATCAATGTCGAAATGCAGACTTGATTGATTGATTGATCACTTGATTTCTTGGTTGATTGATTGATTGATTGATTGATTGATTGATTGATTGATTGATTGATTGATTGGTTGATTGGTTGATTGATTTATTGGTCGCCTGCCTACGCCCTCATTCTCCTTGCGCAGTGGTCACGTAGCAAACCCCCTACGGTGATCTAGACACGATCCGGACCTTGATCGCTCTCTCTTTCACGATCCCGACCTTGATCAACTCGGGATCGCCGATTGATCTCGACCTTGATCAGCGCGATCGCGACCTTGATCACGATCCCGCCCTTGATCAACGCGATCGCGACCTTGATCAGCGCGATATCAACCTCGATCCCGACCTTGATCAGCGCGACCGCGATCGCGACCTTCACGATAGGATCTTGACATATCAAGATCCCGACCCCGATAATCATCCCGATCCCGATATCCCGACCCCGATATTCATCTCAATCCCCACCCCGATATTCATCCCGATCCCGATACCGATTGAATCGATTGAACAATCAATCGGCGCAGATACACACACACACACACACACACGCTGCTACTGATTGATTGATTGGTTGCCGGGGGGCTCGCCTCGCGTGCACGTGCCCCCCCCCCCCTTTACTGATTGATTGATTGATTGATTGATTGATTGATTCATAGATTCATAGATTGAGAGAGAGAGAGAGGGAGAGAGAGGGAGAGAGAGGGAGAAAGAGAGAAAGATTGATTCATAGATTGATTCATAGATTGATTGATTGATTGTTTGATTGATTGCTTGATTGATTGATTAATTGATTGATTGATTGACTCATTTATTGATTTACAGAAAGAAAGATTGATTGATTGATTGATTGATTGATTCATTCATTCATTCATTCATTCATTGATTCATTGATTGAGAGAGAGAGAGAGAGGGAGAGAGAGAGAAAGATTGATTAATTGATTGATTGATTGATTGATTGTTTAATTAAATTAAAATTTATAAAAAAAAATTGTCTCAGTCGTGATTAGTCGAGATCGAGTCGGGATCGAGTCGGGACTCGATTGGGACTCGATCGGGACTCGATCGATAAAAACTGTCTCAGTAGCGATTGATAAAAAAAATAACTTAAAAATTGACTCAGTCGGTATTAGTGAAGATCGATTGGGGATCGAGTCGGGACTCGATCGTGACTCGATTGTGACTCGATCGTGACTCGATCGCGACTGGATCGCGTCTCGATCGCGACTGGAACGCGACTCTATCCCGACTCGATGGTGACTCGTTCGCGACTCGCTCATGACTCGCTCGTGACTCGATCGTGACTCGATCGCGACTCGATCCCGACTCGATCGCGACTCGATCGCGACCCGATCCGTTTTATAAACCATTCAATCAGTCAATCAATCGTGACTCGATCGGGACTCGATCGGGACTCGATTCATGACTCTATCGCGACTCGATTGTGACTCGATCGCGACTCGATCGTGACTCGATCGCGACTCGATTGTGACTCGATCGTGACTCGATCGTGACTCGATCGCAACTCGATCGTGACTCGATGTGTGTGTGACTCGATCGCGACTCGATCGCGACTCGATCGTGACTCGATGTGTATGTGTGTGTGTGTGTGTGTGTGTGCACGCGCCGCGATCGCCCTGACAATCAATCAATCAATCAATCAATCAATCAACCAATCGATTGATGTTGATTGATTGACTGATTGATGGATTGATTGATCCGATGATTTAATGGTTTATTGATTGTCGGGATCGAGTCGCGATCAAGTCACGATCGGGAGTCGATAGCGACTCGATCGCGGCTCGATCCCGACAATCAATAAACCATTCAATCAGTCAATCAATCAATCCATCAATCAGTCAATCAATCAACATCAATCGATTGGTTGATTGATTGATTGATTGATTGATTGATTGATTGTCGGGGCGATCGCGGCTCGTGCACAAACACACACACACACACACACACACACACACACACACACACACAGTTACTGATTGATTGATTGGTTGTCGGGGCGGTCGCGGCCCGTGCACACATACACACACACACACACACACACACACACACACACACACACACACACACACACACACACACATACACACACTCACAGTTACCGATTGATTGATTGGTTGCCGGGTCGGTCGCCTGCCATGCACCTCTCCTCCCTTTACTGATTGATTGATTGATTGATTGATTGATTGATTGATTGATTGATTCATAGAGAGAGAGAGAGATGGAGAGAGAGAGAAAGAGAGAGAGACATACACACAGAGAGAGAGAAAGAGTGAGAGAGTGAGCGAGGGAAAGAGAGAGAAAGAGAGAGACAGAACGACTCGATCGCGACTCGATCTCGACTAATCCCGACTCAGTTAATCAATCAATCAATCGATCAATCAATCAATCAATCAATCAAGTTTGACTCATTGGTGGTTGATTGATTGATTGATTGATTGATTGAGTCAATCGGGATTAGTCGGGATCGCTCTCTCTTTCGCAATCCCGACCTTGATGCCCGCTATCCCGACCCCGATATTCATCCCGGCGTTCGTCATGTGCGATCCTGGCCCCGATGCTCTCTCTGTCTCGAACTGTCTATCTTGACATATCAAGATCCTTTGGAATCGATTGATTCGATAGGATCTTGACATATCAAGATCATTTCGGTCCCGATTCTTGACATATCAAGATCTTGACATATGAAGATCCTTTCGAATCGATTGATTCGATAGGATCTTGACATATCAAGATCCTTTCGAATGGATTGATTCGATAGGATGTTGACATATCAAGATCCCTTCGAATGGATTGATTCGATAGGATCTTGACATATCATGACCGATCCTGGCCCCGATTCTCTCTCTCTCTCGAACTGTGTATCTGTCGTGCTCAATCGATTGATCGATCGATCGATCAATCCTTCAATCAATCGATTGATTGATTGATTGATTGATTGATTGATTGATTGATTGATTGATTGATTGATTGATTGATTGACATATCAAGATCCTTTGCGATCGATCGTTGATTGATTGATTGATTGATTGATTGACAGACATACACGCACACACACCTCCGCATCTCGGCATCGCCACCTCCGCTTCCCAATCCTGCTCCCGTCGCCACCTCCACACTTGCCACGTGGGACTATACGGTGAGGCCGCACTTGCCACGCGACGTACTTGCCGCTCCCGTCGCCACCTCAGCACTTGCCACATGGGACTATATGGTGAGGCCGCACTTGCCACGTGGCGTACTTGCCGCTCCCTTCGCCACATAGGCGTCGCCACCTCCGCACTTGCCTGTGGGACTAGATGATGGGGCAATTACGCCACCTCGACGCCGAGATGGCGTCGCCACCTCGACGTCGTCATCCCGCTCCCGTCGCCACCTCCGTACTTGCCACGTGGGACTAGATGATGGGGCAAGTACGCCACGTGGCGATGTGGAAAGTGCGCCACGTGGCACGTGCGCCACGTGCGATGTTTGGCACGTGCGAAGTGTGGTACCCATCGCCACCTCCACTTTCCGATCCCGATCCCGCGCTCGTGGCCACCTTCGCTTCCCGATCCCGCTCCCGATCCCATCGCCACCTCGGCGTTGCCATCTCGGCGTTGCCATCCCTCTCCCATCGCCACGTGGCAAGTACGCCACATGGCGTCGCCACCTGGGCGTTGCCATCCCGCTCCCATCGCCACCTCGGGGTCGCCACCTCCGCACTTGCCACGTGGGACTAGATCATGGGGCAAGTACTCCACGTGGCAAATGCGTCCTCCCCATAGTGGGGGATTCGGTGAGGGCGCACTTGCCACGCGAGACTATATGGTGAGGCCGCACTTGCCACGTCGCGTACTTGCCACGTGGCGTACTTGTCGCAAATGCGTGCTCCCGATATCGAGGGATACCGATATGGAGATGGGCCATATCGATATCGAGGGATACCGATATCGAGATGGGCCATATCCATATCCACGGATACCGATATTGAGGTAAATTCTTTTGCCTCTTTTTTTTTTCAATGAATCGATCAACCAATCAATCAATTATTAAGGATTGATTAATTGGTCAAATGGCGCCCAAAAAAGGGAGAGAGAGGGAGTGGAGACAGAGAGAAAGAGCGAGAGAGAGAGAGAGAGAGAGAGAGAGAGAGAGAGAGAGAGAGAGAGAGAGAGAGAGAGAGAGAGAGAGAGAGAGAGAGAGA